ATTCCACCCTAGTCCATTTTTTCCCCAGGCATGCAAAACCAACAGTTGCTTCATCGAGTACAAAATGGGAGAATTTGGTTCATTTCCTAAAACTTTATTATTGGTGCCTACTTTGATATGCCGGAGGCCCCTTGTTTTTGAGCACAGGAAAGTGCAATGTATATAGTAGAAAACTCTTTGGAGTCAGACCTGGTTTCCAGTAAGTTCTAGTTCTTAGCTGTGCGATTTTAGACAAGTTACTTTACCTCTCTGAGACCCAGTTTCCTTCTGTGAGATGGAGATAATTCAACTGACTTCAAAGGGTTATTAGGAACAAATGAGAATAATTAAGGCTTTGTGCATAGGGCATGATAAATAAAAGGTAATAGCAAATGTGCATTTCTTTCCTTTCTCTTGGACTTTTTTTTTTTTTTTTTTTTTTGCTTATTTATCCTTTTGTGGTACTTAAAGGAATAATAATACCTATTATTGAGTCACATATGCCAGGCAGGCCCTGAGCCAAGGGCTTTCCTATGCTATGTCATTTATTTCTCCCAGTAACACATTTGTGAATCAGGAACCATTTTAAACAAGTAAAGGAAACTGAGGCATTGAAGGTAAGTGTCTAAGGTCACAAAGCTGGTAAGAGACAGAGCTGAGATTCAAACCCAGGTATCTGATTCTAGAGCCTGAGCTCTTCATCACTAAATTGGACATTACTCTGTTTCTGTTAACTTTCCCTGAGCAATATGTGACTTCTGGTGGTTTTTATTTTCTCTCTACTTGGACATGTTGGAATTCATGCGCATGTAGTTCTTTAGTTTTTTTAGTCACGATTAGTGCCTGGCTATCTTGATGGTGGTATAAACAGTGATATTGTGTCTGCCATAGCTCTTCCTAATTCTTCCACTCAGAGCAGATCCCCTCAGCTGAAATGTGGTATATCTCCCCTCTTTTAAAGAGACCATCCCTTCATTCCTTCTTTACTGTTCATATCAAACCGAATAGATTTTTTTTAAATTATACCATTCTTGTCAATCTTATTCTGTCTTTCAGCAGATACTTCAGAAGAGTAGACACTATCATGTTCATTTTACAGATTTGGAAACTAAAGGCCAGGAAGGTGAAATGACTTGTTCAAAGTCACACGATGTATTAGAGGTAAAGCTGCAACTAGCCTTTAGGTTTTCTGACTCTCAGCCCTGTGCTCTCTCTCTTAACTTAGTAAAAAGCGGGGTATAGGCATGTAATATGCAAATCAGACCTAAAGAGGTTTGAGCTGTGTTAGGACACAGGATCTAGAGAATTCTGAAGGGAAGATGCCTGCTTCACCCACATCTTCACTCCGGTTCATTCACACACATGCGGAATTCATCAGAAAGGGAGAAACTTTCCCCTTAGGGTTCAACACAGCTTTCATGACAGGAAACCATGGAGAAGGGTCCAGAGGATGTCAGTATCCCCTTATGCAAAAGAAAGATTAGCCGTACCTCGCCCCTCCCCCCCCACCGCCCCCTGCCACCAGGGCTTATTAGCCTGGAGTGACATTTGTAGAAAGAGCAGAGGAATAGTGAAAGAATCTTCTGACCTCTGCAAGCTTCAGCCTAAACCAGGCAAGGGTTGAGCTATGGCAGGGCAGAGGTGAGAACTGAGGATTGGAACTCTGAGGAACTTCAGTTTACCTTCTGCCAACAGATTTAGTTTGGGGTTTAGACAAACAAGTTCCCTTTATTTAAAATTTATAAAGAGGAATTCCTACTGCTGCTCTTGAAAAACAAAACAAATCAATCCTTGGTTCTGGGAACCAGAAGGAAGAAGAAACCTTCCCCAAATACTAGACCTCAGACATTTCAGTCCTGCCCAGGCATCCTTGTCCTTTTTATCTCTTTCCTTACCTCTCTCCTTTCACCCTTTTCTTCTCCCTCTTTTCTGCCCATCTTAACTGCCCGTCTTCCCTTCTTATCCTCCTCTCTCCTTCTCTTTCCCATAACTCTTAAAACAAGAATGAGAAAAGGGAACCTTTAACCAATAGATTAGTAGATAGTTGATATTACAAATACTGGGCTGAGAGTCAGAATATGGAGCTTAAGATTTTGGACCTTCTAGACCTCAGAGCAAAGGTTGGCAGGCAGTTGTTTATTCATTCCATTTATTTACTTACGTGTTTCCCAAATACTTATGTCTCATACCTGTCAGGCTCTGTGCCATATACTTGGACTATCCCAGCTAATAAGACCCTAAACTTGCCATAAGATCACAGTCTTATGGGGAAGGCATATCAGCAGTAAACGTCATTCCCCCTCCCACCCCCTATTCAAATTACTAGATTTTAAGGTAGAAAGAACCTTAGAGTTTATCTGGTTCTCCTAGCATGTTGCTACATAATGAAGCAAGGCAGATCATGAAGTAAGCAAACGCGTAAGACTTTCCAGTAAAGTAAAGCAGACCTAGGTTCAAATCCTAGCTCTGCTACTTACTAGCTATTTTACCTTGAATGGAAGAGCTGTTAAAGACCTGGCTGGGAGTCTCCCATCCTAACTCTTCCCCTTTCCTCTCCTGTTATCACATTGATTCTCACAAAATCCCTCTATTATAGGCAGGATGGGAATCGTATTCTCATTTTGTAGCCAAGGAATCTGAGGCTCAGATTAGAACCCAGGTCTCTTTTTAGGAGATAGATACAGTCAAGTGTAAGGTAAGAGTAGCAGGCATGAGAGCAAAAATCCTAACTGACCAGGTCTCCATTCTCTGGAAGCCGTATGAATCTTTATAAAAAAGAAGAAACGGCGGGACTGTAGTTTTGAGGCCAGAGCTGGATGTAGTTACAGCCAGAGATGTCTCAAGAACATGACAGAGTAGTAAGAAAGGGTTCAGGATAACTTCATTGATTTGCTAGGCTTTGAAGAAGTATTTAAATATGTACAAAGTATGTAGTACATATATAGAGTAGATAAAAAATGCCTGAAGGGAATCGTTACAGGTGAGACAATAGCATGGACAAGAGTATGGGTGCCCATGGTAGATGTAAGGCAAATTATGACCAGATTGTGGCATACCCAGAGAGTGAGGCTGAGGCGATTGGGAGCTATGACTTGTTTTTTTGGTAGGGGATTGGCATTAGGAACATTAGTGTGCCAATGTGGGCCCAATGTATTAGAGCAGGAGGGGTGGGGGAATACTAGTGAAAGAAAGACCAAGGAAGAGGCTACCATAGCAGTCTGTCCTTGTAATGTTAGTAAATTTTCAGAAATATTCTAGCAGTGCAGGCAAGAGATAAATGAGATCCTGAACCAAGAGGAAGTTGACACAGTAGGGAATAATGAACAGTTTGGATGTAGAGCTCTTACATCAAAAAAACCCACGAGGACTTGTCAATTGTGGGAATGGGGAATGAGAGAAGGAGGGGTTGGAGAGCATGAACATTTGGAGTCTAAATACTTAGGAGAATAGTTATACCATTTGCTGAACTATGGAGGCTGGGAGATAGGAGATGAGTTCAGTTTATTGACATGTCGAATAGTGCTGATAGTCCATTCTTTTTACCACCTACCCCCTAGTGACTCTGCCTTTGTTTTTTGACCCAGGCTTACAGAGAACCCTCAGTTCCATGTTGTTTGCTGATTTGTCCCAGGCCTGGAGCCCCCCACAGATCCTTCCACCCATGTCTTATAACAACTCTCATTCCCTCTCTGAAATAAGGTAGTGCATGTAAGGTGCTTAGCCTTGTACCTAGTCTGTTTCAAAGTGTGCATTAAATGTTAGTGGCTATGAAATGGCTGTTATTGTGGTTATAGCTTTGTGATTATAGTAGCTAGAGAATTAGAGAAGCCTCTGGAACCACCTGGCTGAAGGACTCAGGAATCATTCAACTAGTATTCACTAAAAATTCTGGACTGCAAGTAAATGGAGAGGATCTCAGGCTTCGGTGTAAATGGGAGCTCTAAGCCATGTCAGCTAGGACTGGAGAACATGTTTCCTGACTTTTTTCTTCTGTTTTTGGGAGTTGGCATACTATGTGGTTAGAAGGACAAGCCCTGGAAGTTGGACTTCTGGGTTCGTGTCCCAGCTCTGCCATCAATTAACTGTGTGACTTGGGCACATTCACCTTTCCATGCCTCAGTTTCTCCATTAGTAAAATGGGGACTATAATAACACACCAAAATTGTCAAGATTAAATGAGTTAATACAAATAAAGAGTTTACAACAATCTCTGGCATGTGCTACTGTTCTTCTTACCCCAAAATCACCTCTACCCCACATTCCAGGTAATATATAGGGGTTTCTCTATTCTTCAGCCATCCTCATCCAACAAAGGGAATGAAGAAAGAAACCTGAAACCAATCTCAGTGCTTAAAAGATTGTCTCAGCTGGGTTGCAGATTATCTAAACCTGGAGGGACCTGGTCCAGGATTGAGATAGAGTTGTCCTGAAGGCCTCAGTTCCATTCCCAGTTTTGCCTTTGACTTACTTTGATCTTGGGCATGTCACCTAACCTCTGAGCTTCAGTTTTCCATATGTAAAATAGGGAGAATGTATTTTTAGTTTCTCATTCTTCTCAATGCTACATTCTAGCTATATTGACTTTCTTGCTCCTTAAGCATAATAAGTATATTTTTGCTTCTTACCTCAGGGCCTTTGCACTTGTTCCTCCTTTCTAAAACA